ATCCGCATAATCCGGATTATCCTCTTCTAACAACTCGTTGATCCTTCTTCATTGTCCTCGTAATCCTTCATTAATTGGCAAAATGAAACAAGTCTCTCCAAGTTTTCTACTCAACCGTGAAGTTTGGTCGAAAGGTCGGTGTCTTACCGGGAAGTAGACATTGTTATTACAGTAAAAATCCTTTGATGTTGGGGGTCTGACTGTGCATGTTGTTTTAATGGATTAACTTTCTGGGTTATACTAAATTCAGAACTACCTAACGAAATAGGTGATATAAACTCACCCCGTTTTCACGTACATGATAAAAATCATAAAGTTGATATGAACTCACTTAGTTTGTCTTGACAATCACTGACTGACCGAAAGGTCGGCGTTATGAGCCTGAACCTATATACGTTCATAGTCAAACATTCACCTTTTAGTGAAAAAATTGTATCATCACTTTATACAACCGATCATAAGCACAGTCAGGCTCATGATTTAGTCCAAATCACACAGTAGACTCAGCTTTTAGAAGACATTTATCATGAATATTCATAGCGTCACTTCAGATTCTGGACAAGTGCCTGTTCTACTTCACACATTGTAGATATATAGGGAATCGAAACCGGGTCTTCGATGCAACGAGTGAACGCTTTAACATACTAGGATAGCCCGCCCCTCAGTAACGTTAATTGCACTATTTCCTTTCGCACCCCGTTTTCACGTACATGATAGAAATCATAAAGTTGATATGAACTCACACGGGGGTATGCACATTAAATGAAACACCGAGAACAAGAGAGTTGGTCTAAGTTTACGCTCATCACGTACCGCACGTGCATTTGTTTCACTGTTTCAACTACTGCGCTTACCCCTTTGTAATACAAACCAGTAATAGCGATTTGAAACTATGATCGTTTATCAAACAACTTTTATCTTAAGTTGAAAAAATATTCTGAATTTTAAATGTTCAAATGGCAAGGTAAAGTTATGAGGATTCGCAATCTTAATTTCACTTCTTTTGATTTACATTTTTGTTGAAAGTGAAGTTCATCGGTACGTTTTCACTGCAAACAGACTATAATCACCGACGACTTTGACGACGATGAAAAATCGCCGTCCTACTTCTGCATGTGTGTGTGTAAGTGACCGAGCTGGTCTCCGCACCGGGACGATTGGCCCACGTTGGTCCCGGGGTGCGTTAATCACGTGTTTACCATCTACCTGTACAATTTAGATCACCATTTGCCCAACCACAATAAAAATTGCATCGGTATCACTTCAACATCTGACCTTTGTCTATCTGTCGGCCAACCATCCTGAACTACCCCCGAAACGAACGCTCTTGGACAGAAGCCATCCATGCTTGACGTAAGAGACGACTAACGGGATCGGGTGTCAGGCACTATGTACTTTCACAGACAGCTGATCATCAATAGCACATTTTTGCTGTATCCTTGGTAGGGTAGCCAAGTGGTTAAAGCGTTCGCCCGTCACGCCGAAGGCACGGGTTCGATTCCCCCACATGGGTCCAATGTGTGAAGCCAATTTCTGGTGGATATTTCTGGTGATATTGCTAAAAGCGGCGTAAAACTAAACTCATTTGCTTTATCCATGTAGAACATATTGAAGTAGAAGTGTTCGTAAAAGCTACTATCACCTCTAAGACCTGGTGCAAGGGAGATAACTTTTGATATATTTCCCTCTTCCGTTATCAAGTCAATGTGTTGGGTGCATATAGGCCTCTTATTGGCCCACGTCACCCTACAACTATAAAACCAATCCAACCCTCTTCCGTTTGTCCCGTTGACTATACTTTAATACAGATCTGGTTTTGCCTTTTGCAGTTTCATTTTTAACTGTAAATTCCTCCTGTTATCTATATCCTAAAGATTTTGTCAACCAGCACTTCCATCCTATTTCACCTCAGGTAGCCATGTTAGATGTATAGACACTGAACTCAGTCAACTTCAGTAACCCATGCTTGTCGTTAAGAGGCGACTTTCGGAAACGGGTGGTCAGGCTCGCGGACTTGGTTGACACGTCATCATATCCCAGTTGCGGAGATCGATCGATGCTCTTGATCACTGGATTGTCTGGTCTTCACTTGATTATTTACAGACCCGGTCGGGTCTCAATGGGATAATAATAAAGAAAAATATGTTCATTATTTTAATTATTGTAACATATATCGCTTGTAAATATTTGTGAAACAGGTCCATGTATATACTTTTTCAAAGCACGATGCAATTGCCCTTAGATGTCGGAATCAGTGTGAACAACGTGAAGAAGTGTTCATAGCTTAATTATTGTGTATGATTATAAAAACATCTAAATATACTCTTAAAAAGGTAGGGGAACCTGAACTTTCAATGTGGATATAGGAAGTATATAAGCGTGAACAAACTTTTCAAAGACAGACATCTTATGAACGCACCACCATTTCCCTTTATCACAACCCCTAAACACAGGGGCGGTGGGGTAGCCTAGTGGTTAAAGCGTTCGCCCGTCACGCCGAAGATCCGGGTTTGATTCCCAACATGGGTACATTGTGTGAAGCCCATTTCTGGTGTCCACCGCCGTGATATTGCTGGAATATTGCTAAATGCAGCGTAAACCAAAACTCACTCACTCACGATCACCCCTGAATACAACACATGGGATGCACGCGCATCCCCATACACGTGCATGGGGTGTCATTCTTGATTTTGACGGTTTTCAAGAAGGTCGATAAATCACTGTGGACCATTAAATTTGACATTCATGCATCAGACAATCGTTTGTTTATAGCTGTTTTGTTTGGTTTTTTTCTTGTATAGTTTTTTTTTTTATTTTTTTTATTCTTTATTTTTTTTCTTTTATTATTTATTTATATATTTTTTTATTTTTTTTATATTTATTTATTTTTTATTTTTTTATTTTTGGGATGCAAATTTCACGTCATACCCCAATCATCTTTCAAGAGCGATAAGTGTACAAACAAGTATGGTCAAAGGGAAGCCGCCATATAGCTGGAATATTGCTGAGTGCGGCGTAAAACTAACTCCCTCACTCACTCATAGGGAAGTGCAAATGGTGATGCACTCTCAAAACATGTAATACATATCGATATATCCGTAGTGCGGGACGAGTGTCATATGAGAACATGTAATACATATCGAATTATCCGTAGTGCGGGACGAGCGTTATATGAGAACATGTAATACATATCGATATATCCGTAGTGCGGGACGAGTGTTATATAAGGAACATGTAATACATATCGATATATCCGTAGTGCGGGACGAGTGTCATATGAGGAACATGTAATACATATCGATATATCGGTAGTGCGAGACGAGTGTTATATGAGGAACATGTAAAACATATCAATATATCCGTAGTGCGGGACGAGTGTTGTATCGGGAACATGTAATACATATCGATATATCCGTAGTGCGGGACGAGTGTCATATGAGAACATGTAATACATATCGATATATCCGTAGTGCGGGACGAGTGTCATATGAGAACATGTAATACATATCGATATATCCGTAGTGCGGGACGAGTGTCATATGAGAACATGTAATACATATCGATATATCCGTAGTGCGGGACGAGCGTCATATGAGAACATGTAATACATATCGAGTTATCCGTAGTGCGGGACGAGCGTTATATGGGGAACATGTAATACATATCGATATATCCGTAGTGCGGGACGAGTGTTATATGAGAACATGTAATACATATCGATATATCCCTAGTGCGGGACGAGCGTCATATGAGGAACATGTAATATACATCGATATATCCGTAGTGCTACATATATAATTAGCACGTATGAATGACTACTTGGCAATACATTTTATATGTTACGACTTAATGGCAAAAATAATATCAAAATTCTTGTAACAGTGAAAGCAAATATCATATAAGTTAAAATAGGTAACAGATGTAAACATATTTTTTCAATTGCCTATTCAAGCAATATATTCATTTTGGATTTTTAAATGTCTGGGAAATTCCAAGAAGTTAATTTAAAATTTACAGACATATTTTTACTGTAAAGTTCAATTTAAAAAGCGTTATTAGAAATATACAATTTGAAATAAGAAATCTCTAATTTCAAATTGCTAGTTTTTAATAACGCTCTGATTTCTAACTTTACAGTAAAAAAGTGTCTGTTTACTATAAATCATCCTCTTCAAATTTCCAAGACAATACAATAAATAGTCTTTTCAACAAGTTATCGCTATCATTGGTGTTATTATATCATAATTAATATACCTGTTGTTGTTGATGATTGTAAGTGTTATTCATCGACAATCCAAGTAGCGACTGTTTGGGACTAGGGTCCGTCTGAGCGCACACGCGTGTAGCTAAATCAATTGGCAACACATGGAACTACTTCCAACAAAGCTGCATAATGATTCACGTATATTTCCCCTGATATGATATACTGTGTATATACACATTTAAATGTCATTTAAACACGCACCAGACTTAAGATATTGTCCAGTATAACAGATGTTATACGACTTGTGTACATGTATTTTCTGATGATAAAGTCGTGCATCAGGAATGACCACAATCGTATTTCGATCACCAAGTCCGGCTCAATCCACAGTCTATATATGATACATGATAACTGTGTCGTCCGCAAATATGATACCGATCACATATTATGGTCAATATTTGAACAGACCCTAATCCCTTCAACCTATTGACAAACCACCAGTGTCTTGGTCTGTATTACTCTATACGAAAGTGGGACACCTGCGAAATTGCTCGGTTGGTTTCTCCTGTTGTTCTGGAATATTACCAGGAAGGTAGCTCGTTCTCTTTCCGCTCCGGCATATGATGCTTGCAATGCTTATATAACCAGGGAGCCTCTATATATTCCGACAGTTGCCGATAGTTTCCGACTGATAAAATAAACTGGCTGAAGTACTGTTAAACGCAGCCGAAGTTGCGCTGAGAACGAACCTAGTCGTCGTGTGCGTTGGAGCATGACGAGGCACACGTTAATTAGTACAAATGGTGAAGAAGCAAGCGAGTGACCTATCCCTGTTGTAGAGTATCCCTGGTATGATTGACTAGACGTTGGTCTCATAATCAGATATGCGGTATAGCTGAATGTTTATGAATGCAGAACACGTTTTGTCAACAAGGATGCCGTCGTAACTAGGTGAGGCGATCCTGGCGTTGTTCACCAAAACACCCGGTTGCGCAATACATCGCTTTATATACAATCAATAGTCGCAGTATACCACGTCGGACATTGTCGCAGTCGCTCCATAATGAAACACTGGATACAGCTCAGCTTCCTAATATGTTCCTCACTCATCCAGCTCGTGTCTACAGGTAAGAAGTTTCATCTGATTTTGATACAGTAATATGTCGTATGTTTGTCAGGCGAACAAACGACATGGGTAGACTCGGGTAGAAACACCGCTTGGTGGGAGGCGTTAACAGTCATAGCAGGCCAAGGTACACGAGATTAACGCTTAGTCTCTCAATATAATTTCGACCTAGTTCTCTATGTATCAAAACAAAGCAATAATGTTGAAAGAAGCTGTTTATAGAAAATAGATGCAGTAAGTTTAAAAGGTTTAGCAAAACTGGATATATATTTCTATTTGATTATGTGTCAAGTCTGCTTTTTGCAGTAATTTCCAATAAATGTGGAAAGATATTTGTCAATTTAATGAATTTAAGTATACAGTTTTGGTCGTTTACATTGTTATTTATAAACGAACATAATATGCAAATGTAGGACAGCGGTACCACAATCATATTTTTAGTATTTATTGAACCAGGGAGCCAAATTGGTGAGTGAGTGAGTGAGTGAGTGGGTGGGTGGGTGAGTGGGTGAGTTTGTTTGAAATTCAGCTTTTGATAAAATATGATAATAAAATGTGAAATTTGTATTGTATTAAATGGAATTTAATCTACATTTGCTGCAGAAGAGCGCTAAACTAAACAGTACGTTTTGATATCATGATACTAAGTTACTGAGCGCGGAGACCAATGAAAACCTCTTTCTGAAGTCTTGAGTTTCTTTCAAGTCTATCAGGCTGACTGTCTTCATCAAGTCTCGTACAGGTAGAGAGAAAGGACACGTCAAATGGAAACCTTGGACCTGTTTTTAAACTTCATGGTTATCATATTCAGCTTAAGACGTGACATCTGTTACAGTGTACACTGTTCTCGTCAATATATATCAACAGCCAAGTATGTCAGATTAGAAACCATCTGTGACGTCTTTTTTTAGGGGAGATTTAGGTTAGGGCTATAGCTTGGCCAATCTAATAATGTCATATTTTGGGTCCGAAACCAGGCCTGTGAATGCTTTGAACGATGTTTTGGGTCGTTTTCCTGCTGGAAAATCCAAACATTTCCATAGAACACGTAAGCAGATGGAAGTAAATGTCCCTCGAGAATATATGTGTACCGCTCACTGTTCATATTCCCTGTAAATACACACAGAGGGGCGTTGCCCCTAACACAGATATGCCACCCCACACGTTAAATTTCGGACTGTACTTTGGACGCTGATACAAAGGTTTTTCAGTTTGTTTGGTCCAGAATTTTAGTGTATTAGGAAACAGCCACACAGAACTTTCATATGAGAAAATCATATTGTCCCAGCTAAAATTTCTATGCTGTAAGCACCAGTTCAACCTTTGCTCCTTTTGTTCAGGTTTCATGATCGGTGATGGAATTCCTCGACTTTTCTGCCAACCCATTGCATGCAGCTCAGTTATAATTGTCTCCTTACAGACAGCCACAGTTCCTCTATCAATCATATCCAGCCTTAAGTTTTCTAAACTCCTTAGTTTGTTTTTAGAAACAAGAATACCAAGCCGCCTCATGTCACCGACAGTCAATTTTCTGGGCCTACATGCGCCTCCCTGGTGCTCAATGCCATATCCATTTGCAATATTTTTCAGTGGACAAAGGGATGCCTGTTCTACTTGAAATCACTTTAGCTGATCTGATGTCCTTGTTATAATACTCTAAAACAACTTCCTCTTCTCTAAATCATCCATACTGAGGATCACTGAAAATGTCGTCTGCTAGCAAGTAAACAAAGAGGGATAACCCAGGGATTTCATGTATTCCCTAAAATTTCCAGGGATTTCACGAAATTACTGAAATATTAGCTCAGTGATTTCATGAAATCCCCGTAAGCCCTTATTGAAACAGAGAACACCAAATTTATAATGCGAGTACCGAGTATTCCCTGATAAAATTCATTTGTTGGGACAAGATAGAGTGTTATCATACAAGCTATTACACTTCAGTAGCACTTTAAAACATTTACAACGTATTTGATATACACTGCTTAGGACAACAGTTACATTTCTGGAAACCCTGACCACCACAATTCGACTAGAAAATCACAGTTGTGTGGAGAAACAGTTCTTTGTCCATTGTCACATTATTCGTAGAAAGAAGACGCTGAGGACAAACATGAAATATATGGTTTGAAAAATACCTTTTCCTTCCCAAATCCATATCCCAAAGCGCTTCTTCAACAGCGGGATGCTGTATATTCCAAGTTATTTCTATGAATGGTCTAGTCCGTTTAAACTTAAACGTCTATTTTCAATAATAAAAACAAAATGTTTGAAAAACCTCGCAAATGCTGTATCACAGTAAAATGTTGAGCCATTCCGTACGGAATTATGAGAGACACTTGTGCCACAATATACAGAGTATAATATATGAATATTAAAAATGCAATAATAAGGGTACACGTTGCAGTACGCTTTTTAAGAATTTTAAGGCAGGTTTTCGCAGATAAAAACGATACACCTGGACAAGCTAGAAGAAAACTAACTTTTCAACATACACAGATTTTCAAAAAACACATCTGAAAGACATGCACATTTAGATAAAAGTTGCAATCGCTCATCAGCATACAAAGGGCAATGCAATAAAACTTGACACTCATCTTCAATAAAATCTTTACAGTTTCGATTCTAAGCGGCGCTACCGCACATCTAAACAAAGCTATTGCTTTTCTCATAGGGCGAGATATTACAATTAACGTAAAAATCACTGCAAAAATCCACCTTTAAAGTTCAGTACGTGTGTGACTTATTACCTCCCCTACCAGTTAAACTACCAACTTGTAAAAGGTCCTGTTTCCATTTATAAACGAAAGCGCTAAAAACAACGTCTGTAACTTTTGAAACTACAAAAGGAATATTGATTAATTTATTAATCATAACAATAAGATGCACTAAAAATGGGGGTAAAATCTCTAAAAGTGAAAAATGGTTCCTTAATGGCCAAAAATTGGAGGTGGTGTCATATTACAAATATTTAGGTATAATATTTTCGTGTAGAAATATATTCTCCAGAGCCTGTGAAACATTATCTATGCAAGCTGAACGAGCCCTACATGTCATAAAGAAATTCATATGCAAATATAAAGAATTACCGATCCATGCATCATTTAAACTGTTTGATGGAAAAATTCAACCAATTTTGTTGTACGGCTCTGAAATATTGGGCATTAACATAAACAAGAATATTGAAAAGGTACATTCAAAGTTCTGTAAGTTCTTGTTGCGTGTTGGCTACAGAACTGCGAACAAGGTTATTTTAGCTGAATGTGGACGTTTTCCACTGTTTATTAACGCCCGATGTCGGGTTATTTCATATTGGCTAAGATTGATGAGACAACCAATTTCACGATATTCAAGATGTAGTTATGAAATGCTTAAAACACTAGATGATACCGGAGATATTAATTGGGTTTTATTCGTTAGAACTATTCTTTTTAGTCATGGCTTTGGAAATGTATGGATCGCCCAAAATGTAAGTAATACACAATATTTCATCAAATTATTCAAGCAGAGATGCAAAGACATTTATCAACAGGACTGGTATAATGAAATAACGTCATCAACCTGTGTCAACTTTTATTCAGAATATAAATATTGTATTAATACAGAAATTTACCTTTCAAAGATTAAATCACCACAACTTAAGCGTACGCTTACTAAATTTAGATGTAACGCTTACAACTTCAAAGTCCAAGCGGCGCGATTTGCCAAAACTTCAAATGCAATAGATATCCAATGTCCATTCTGCAATTTATCACAAGAAGATGAGTACCATGTATTACTTGTATGCCCGAAATATTTAGAAATAAGAGAAACATATTTGCCTTATTTTTTCTATAACCAACCGTCGAGACATAAATTCTGTATGCTACTTCGCACAGAAAACATTGACTTGTTGTTTAAGCTAGTCCTTGTGTTGTACCACATACTTATGTTGAGAGAAAAAATGTAAATTGTGAATGGGTGTTTATGGATTTATTGATGTTCCTATAACTCGCGTATTTACAGGTTGCGCATAAATGCACTGCTATTATTGTACACATGTACTATTGGCCTCAGGGCCACATATACAAATAAATATGTCTGTCTGTCTGTCTGATGCACTAGTGTGATGCTGCGATAAGACATTGGGTCCCTCAGCTTGTCAGCTCCAGACTTAGGGGTAGGGGTAATGATCCCCTGGGCCCAGTTGGAGGGTACATGACCATGTAGAAAACAGTTTATGAAGATAATCTATACAGATGTCATTTGTTAAAACATCAACTGGAATATTATCGAAACCCGGTAATTTCCCTCTCTTAGCTTGACTTAGTGTCATCAGTAAATAGTCAAAGTTTTCAACTCCTAAGACCTACGGGATGAAATGAGACTAAACAGTAAAGCCGTGAGAAAATTAACTTGGTATCCCGACTCAAGGAAGTAATTAGCCAAAAGTGTCATCGGTAAATTGTCAAAGTTTTCAACTCCAAAGAACTAAGGGATGAAATGAGACTCAACATTAAAGTTTTAAGCTACAAACATTAATTTCACACATTCACTGATATCCTAACAGGGAATGTGTGTAATGGAACACCAATAAAATCAGTAATTTCATGAAATCCCTGGAAATTTTAGGGAATACATGAAATCCCTGGGGGTCACAGTGATTTCGCGAAATCAATGAATCTTTCAGGTATTACGTGAAATCCCTGGTTTCACACAGTCCCTGTAACATATATGCATACATGGTTAGATGGATGCATTTGCTTTGATATTTGACCTTTTACAATGTATCCCGACATATTAGATGGTAATTTGATAGGATCTAATCCAGCTGAAACACTCCTCCCTGCTTATGCGAGAAGCCACGAGAACAGAGCCCCGACTTACTTTCATTCAGACCTAACTACAGTCCTAACCAGACCCTCGTAGTGTTGTGTTATAACATGTAAAATTAATTACCATCTTACAGGGTCCCTTCACTCGATTATCGACTTGTTTGAACTGACTCACGGTTCTATTAATACAAGAGGTACGAGAAACATGTGACGCCGTCCCGCCGAACGGCTGTGTAGTAGGATTGATGGGATTACTTGAATTAATTGTTTGTTATAGTCAGGGGGGTTGGTGGAGGTCATATAGCTACATCCGCACATGAAACTTTAAACGAAATGACTCATACTATAGCGTGTATTGCAACAAGATATGTTACAAAGGTTTTCAATGTGAACTGAGCGTTCATTAGTCGCTGGTTTTCCTCTCGTTTGACCCAGGTGATGACCTGAATTGTCCTGACCTGAATTGAATAAAGGTCAATATATCCGCGGGCGATGGAATAACGTAGTGTTTACATACCTGTGAAAAACTTACCGTGATTCAATGATCATAGGCACCTTTATAGATAAAATGTGAACAGTCATTTCGGATCTAATGTTTGGAGTTAACAAATATATTTCCAAAAGTTGAATGACTTTATTTCCAAGAATAATTTTAGAAAGTGTTGAATTCCATAGCGTTGACTTGGGCTGTTGGGTGGGTGGGTTGGTGTGGGTGTGGGTGTGTGTGCGCGCGCGACTCTCTCCATGTCACCCTCTTTCTCTCACTCTCTCCATGTCTATCCCTCCTCTCTCTCTCTCTCTCTCTCTCTCTCTCTCTCTCTCTCTCTCTCTCTCTCTCTCTCTCTCTCTCTCTCTCTCTCTCTCTCTCTCTCTCTTCGTGTGTGTTTTCTGTAGATTTCCAAATAAACTAAAATATTATTTTTAATGTATTTATATTTGGTAAGAACTTAATTCATGTCTTTGGACTTCCAATTGTTCTTACAGCGAGAGGAAGCAGGTTCTACCGGTCCAGATCGTACCGCACCTATTACAGCTCGGGTAGTAGTGGGAGTGGCGGATCGGGAGATGACGACTCATGGATGTACGTTTACAATATCAGTGTTAAATCTATGGTGGGATGATGGTGCTTGAAATCCATGTTGTTGTCTTTTATCACTATAGTAACGATCATAAAGAGAGGTGTGGTATGAGAGAAGTAATTATGATTAGTAAGTCAGTGTTCGCCATTTTATATACCTATTTAACTAATAGACTTTACTTCTTCGACTTTGACTTTGCTAATGTTTATGCTGCACAGTTAAATGTTAGCATGCTGCAGAGAGAGGCCATGCTTATTTGTTATTATCATCATCATTATTTAGCGCACTTATCCAAATGCTAGTGACCCGTGAAGGTCCGGGTTAGAATGAACCTTCAGTAATCCATGCTTGTCGTAAGAGGCGACTAACGGGATCGGGTGGTCAGGCTCGTTGGCTTGGTTGATACACGTCATCGGTTCCCAATTACGCAGATCGATGCTCATGCTGTTGATCACTGGATTGTCTGGTCCAGACTGGACTTTTTACACGCCGCCGCCATATAGCTGGACTATTGCTGAGTGTGGCGTAAAACTAAATTTATACTCACTCACTCCAAATGCGGTTTATTTTTCCCCGAACAGTCGATCCACATACTTTCCAATTATCATTTCCAACTTCCTTGGGGGTATACAACCCAAAATGCTTTAGGGGTTTTACAGCCACCTAACACATCGGGTACCCATTCCCTGCTGAGTGAGCAGGACATTTATAATTACTGTAGTGGGAAGTCAGTGAGGTTTTACGCCGCTTTTAGCAATATTCCAGCAATATCTCGGCTTGGGACACCAGAGATGGGCTTCACACATTGTATCCATGTGGGGAATCGAACTCGGGTCTAGAACTCGGTGACGAGCGAACGCCTTAACCCCTGGGCTACCTTCCTTGAGAAATTTGACGTTGTTGATCACGTACTACAACCAAGACCCGTGAAGATCTGGGTTAGAATTGGTCTTCAGTAACCCATGCTTGTCGTAAAAGGCGAATAACAAGATTGGGTGGTCAGGCTCGCTGACTTACAGACTCGATTATTTACAGACCGCCGCCATATAGCTGGAATATTGCTGAGTGCGGCGTAAAAGTAAACTCACTCACTCACTCACAAAAGATACGATGTTGTTGCTTTAACCAATAATGATTCGTTTTCATGTTCGGACAGATATATCATCGTAGCCGTCGTGGGCTTCGTTGCGTTATGCTTTTGCTTCATGGGTATTTTTGTGTGCTATAAAAAGTTGAAAGAGAGGAGAGAAAGAAGGGAGGAAGAAGCAAAGGAACTGGAGGAAAAAAAAGCCGAAAACATTCAACAGAAAAGGTTTCACTTACCTCTGTCTGCCTTCCAAAATGAATATCGTCAACAAAATACCAATCCTTAAGTTTTCAAACTATAGCTTGTAGGTTTCTGCATGATACGACTTTACTCCTCTGTGATTTCCACTAGCATTTAACCTGTGAAGATCCGGGATAGAATTGATCTTCAGTAACCCATGCTTGTCGTAAGATGAGACTAACGGGATCGGGTGGTCAGGCTCGCTAACTTGGTTAACACATGTCATCGTATCCCAGTTGCTTAGATCGATTTTCATGTTGTTGATCACTGGATTGTCTGGTCCAGACTCGATTATTTACAGACCGCCGCCATATAGCTTGAATACTGCTGAGTGCGACGTAAAATTAAACTGAATCACTCACTCACTCACTCAAAACTTAGCATCAAGCATACCTGAGACTATTTGTATGGAATAACTTGACGTCTTGTAATTATATTTCCTTGATTCAAACATCGAGCATATCAAATTAATTAAGACATGTTGTACTTTTGTGAAGTATGACCTTTTATATTGGACATGATCAATGTATATTTTTTTTCATTTCAGGAGCAGGAACATTGTTGGCACAGCAGAATTTTAACAAGAATACATCCTTTAGTCTTTTATTGACATGTAGACAAATATGAATATTTTACAGTGTTGTTTGTGATGTTATAAATGTCTGTCATTTGTTTATTTGTGATCTCATAATGATCCTTATGATATTTAAGACTCATGTCGTATAAACTCTTTTATTACTATGCAAGTTTTATGTATTTGGGTTTAGTTCATCATTCGTCTATGGCGTTAGCGTGTAACGTACTGTTACTGATTACTATGAAGTTCTTTGACATTAAGCAGTGACAAGTCATTATTTGGTCTGACGTTATAGACATTCACAGTAAAAATGAACACACGCTACAGTTCCTTGACATTAAGCAGTGACTAGTCATTATTTGGTCGGACGTTATAAACATTCACAGTAAAAATGAACACACGTTACATTTCCTTGACATTAAACAGTGACAAGTTATTATTTGGTCGGACGTTTTAGACATTCACAGTAAAAATGAACACACGCTACATTTCCTTGACATTAAACAGTGACAAGTTATTATTTGGTCGGGCGTTTTGGATTTCACAGTTAAAATAAACACACGCTACAGTTCCTTGACATTAAACAGTGACAAGTCATTATTTGGTCGGGCGTTTTGGACATTCACAGTAAAAATGAACACACGCTACAGTTCCTTGACATTAAGCAGTGACAAGTCATTATTTGGTCGGACGTTATGGACATTCACAGTAGAAATGAACACACGTTACATTTCTTTGACATTAAGCAGTGACTAGTCATTATTTGGTCTGACGTTATAGACATTCACAGTAGAAATGAACACACGTTACATTTCTTTGACATTAAACAGTGACAAGTCATTATTTGGTCGGGCGTTTTGGACATTCACAGTAAAAATGAACACACGCTACAGTTCCTTGACATTAAACAGTGACAAGTCATTATTTGGTCGGGCGTTTTGGACATTTACAGTAAAAATGAACACACGCTACAGTTCCTTGACATTAAACAGTGACTAGTCATTATTTGGTCTGACGTTATAGACATTCACAGTAAAAATGAACACACGCTACATTTCTTTGACATTAAACATTGACAAGTCGTTATTTAGTCGGGCGCTTTAGACATTCACAGTAAAAATGAACACACGCTACAGTTCATTGACATTAAGCAGTGACTAGTCATTATTTGGTCGGATGTTTTAAACATGTACAGTGGAAATGAACACACGTTACTGCTTGTTGTCATTGTATATATTCATATATATATATATCTGATGTATGTACCAAATAGACGTTGACAATCTAGCAGACAAGTGTTGGACTTTCTATGTACCTTAAGTTATAAAAAGCTTGTCTCATGTTGTATATTGTTTCGTATAAGATGTGTGTGCATATGTTGTATAGTATGTGACTATTTGAAAAAGCATAATATTTTTGTACTGGATCCGTCAAAAGCATATTAGGGCTTCTGTATTGACCTGACAATAAATCAGTTAAAGAAACTTTTGAAGGTTAGTGAGTTTAAATTTAACGCCGTTTCAGCTTAGTTTCAACCGCATAACGACGAAACCAAGGTCACACATATACACAAGATGATTATAAACAAAGTCACACTTGAAACACCTTTTAAAGAAGAATATATTACCCTGTTAAGAGCTTGGAGGAACATCGAATCATGCTGCTTATGATTTCTTTGCAGTTCTCATGCAGCCTCTGACTAACGGCCTGTTTCGTGGGGCGGAGGGGTAGCCTAGAGGTTAAAGCGTTCGCTCGTCACGTCGAAGACCCGGGTTCTATTCACCACATGGTTACACCCACATGGGCACAATGTGTTAAGCCCATTTCTGGTGTCCCCCGCCGTGATATTGCTGGAATATTGCTAAAAGCGGCGTAAAACTAAACTCAGTCAGTCAGACATGGTTACAATGTGTGCGGACCGGTTCTGGTGTCCCCCGCCGTGATATTGCTGGAATAATGCTAAAGGCGGCGTAAAACCAAACTCACTCACTCACTCACTTTTGTTTCGTCGATCGTTCTTTACTCGATCAGCTCTGCTCAATCCAGTCGTGACCATCTCGTGTTATTCCGGGACAAGCCGAATAGCGACTCGTGCCCCTCTGAAAGGATTTCATATTGGCGTATGAACATCAGAACTACTTTAAACAAGAACGACAACACTATTTGTTTAATTCAAATGATAATATTAATAAACATAACAGAAGCACTCGAATAATGATGCTTTTAAAACATTTTAATCTGTTTTAAACAATAATAATAATGTTTATTTGTTGAAAATCTTGCAAAGGCAATTAATATGACATTTATTTCAGTTGTTATAAATTCTACAATCAATACACACAAATTACTTTAAAATATATCACAAAAGTCAGACTAAAATATCCACAGTGAAGTGAAATGTGAGTGTATAAGTTGACTTGAAAAGGGCACCTACATGTTTTCATAATTACATTACTTAAACATGTCGGGAACCGCGCGTAAAATCTCCAAAGCAAGATCGTCAGAAAAGCATTCTATTGGACCCACGACAGCCGTTATGTAAACGAACACATTTGCGTGTATTTGAATTTCTTCCTGTTCATGGTATTAAAGTTATTAAAAACTTCAAATCTGGCAACACAATTCTGTTAGCCATGTTCTATGTAACGTCAAAATGACGATGTGTATTTTTCATGAATTTTATAACAAACAAAAAATGCCATAAGCGAATTTAGTACTGGAATTATTTTTATCAAAGTACCTCACTCCTTCATTCTGATTGGTTTGTTGTATTTTCGTACATAACAAGCATCGAGAGGAGGGCGAGTCTTCTTGGAGGGTACGGAAAGGGACGACTGGTGACGAATGGTCTTCTTGGAGGTTACGGAAAGGGACGAGTGGTGACGAATGTGCTCAATCATTCATTTTTGAACATTAAAACAAAACCGAAAAAGGCTGGGGTCAATAATAATATTATTATGTTTACAGAATGATAATGAATCTTAGAAAAAGAAGGTGGCCATCGAGGACGTCGATACAGGTAATTCAAATTATCTTGTCTCATGCTGAATACACTGAAACTAAGGACGTAGATACAGGCAATTCAAATTATCTTGTCTCATGCTGAATACACTGAAACTAAGGACGTAGATACAGGCAAATTATCTTGTCTCATGCTGAATACACTGAAACTAAGGACGTAGATACAGGCAAATTATCTTGTCTCATGCTGAATACACTGAAACTAAGGACGTAGATACAGGCAAATTATCTTGTCTCATGCTGAATAGACTGAAACTAAGGACGTAGATACAGGCAAATTATCTTGTCTCATGCTGAATACACTGAAACTAAGGACGTAGATACAGGCAATTCAAATTACCTTGTCTCATGCTGAATACACTGAAACCAAGGACGTAGATACAGGCAATTCAAATTATCTTGTCTCATGCTGAATACACTGGAACTAAGGACGTAGTTACAGGCAAATTATCTTGTCTCATGCTGAATACACCGAAACTAAGGACGTAGATACAGGCAATTCAAATTATCTTGTCTCATGCTGAATACACTGAAACTAAGGACGTAGATACAGGCAATTCAAATTATCTTGTCTCATGCTGAATACACTGAAACTAAGGACGTAGATACAGGCAAATTATCTTGTCTCATGCTGAATACACTGAAACTAAGGACGTAGATACCAGCAAATTATCTTGTCTCATGCTGAATACACTGTAACTAAGGACGTAGATACAGGCAAATTATCTTGTCTCATGCTGAATACACTGAAACTTAGGACGTAGATACAGGCAAATTATCTTGTCTCATGCTGAATACACTGAAACTAAGGACGTAGATACAGGCAATTCAAATTATCTTGTCTCATGCTGAATACACTGAAACTAAGGACGTAGATACAGGCAAATTATCTTGTCTCATGCTGAATACACTGAAACTAAGGACGTAGATACAGGCAAATTATCTTGTCTCATGCTGAATACACTGAAACTAAGGACGTAGATACAGGCAATTCAAATTATCTTGTCTCATGCTGAATACACTGAAACTAAGGACGTAGATACAGGCAAATTATCTTGTCTCATGCTGAATACACTGAAACTAAGGACGTAGATACAGGCAAATTATCTTGTCTCATGCTGAATACACTGTAACTAAGGACGTAGATACAGGCAAATTATCTTGTCTCATGCTGAATACACTGAAACTAAGGACGTAGATACAGGCAAATTATCTTGTCTCATGCTGAATACACTGAAACTAAGGACGTAGATACAGGCAAATTATCTTGTCTCATGCTGAATACACTGGAACTAAGGACGTAGATACAGGCAAATTATCTTGTCTCATGCTAAATACACTGAAACTAAGGACATAGATACAGGCAAATTATCTTGTCTCATGCTGAATACACTGGAACTTTTGTAGGCCTGCGACTCGGACTTGTAATAACATGTATCTATATTTCAAATATGACATTTTAATTATAATAAGTATAATTATTGTATGTACCTGTTAATGAATGTGACAAACACCTTTCCATATTCAAATAATATCTCTGCTTAAATCTTATCGTTGCACGAATCCGACACGTGAGCATGTATGGATAGATCACTATCAAATAATGATAAGATATCCGCCAAAAAGTTATCGTATCCTGCCTCACTGGTGGCACATGTCATAAACACATACAAGAGCAAGTCAACTGTTCCCCTGAAAAAAATACAAAGACATATGTTACAAGTCAAAATAGGGAATTGGACATCGTGTTTGTCACTGATGTGTCAAATTTGGAAATGTCTTGAGAATGTTGTGACTTTGAGCAAAAGAATTTGGCATATAAGTCTATATTTTAACCTTGGTTTGTCATCTCCAGGGTTATCACATCATTCATTCCATCTACGAATTTACGATGTTACCGTAATCATCAATCATCCGTTTCCAAAGTTTCTCTGAAGATTAAATTGTCAGAGATTAATATTTCCATCTCTCTAACGGCACTTAGCTTCCTACCATTCCTTACGTTTTCAAACCATAGGTGTGTAGGGTTTTGCATACGACTTTACCCCTCTGTGATTTCCACTAACATTTAACCCGTGAAGATCCTGGATAAACCTGATCTTCAGTAACCCATGCTTGTTGTAAGAGGCGACTAACAGGATCGGGTGGTCAGGCTCGCAGATTTGGTTGACACACGCCATAGTATCTCAATGGCGTAGATCGATGCTCATGTTCTTGATCTCAGGATTGTCTGGTCCAGACTCGATTATTTACAGACCGTCACCATATAACTGAGTGCGGCGTAAATTCACTCAGCAATTCACAACCTCTTAACAAAAGCCCAGGTTAATATTCAAATATTTTTCCCATGCATACTGACGAATAAAGCAAGCAATGCAACAACACTGAAGTTATCAAAGTGTCAGATGCAAAGGTAAACAGCGTCAAAATCTGATTTCAGAAACGGAACAATTAACCTATAATCAATTTACATTGCGTATAATCATCACATATAGAGCATTGCGCTTACCATGGATCGTTTCATGCTCCACATCAACACCTGATTTCTGTTATTCTTCGTTCTTCCTTTATTTTCCCAAAACGGCCATCTTAATGCACGCCACCACGTGACGTCATAAAAACAGTGCACACACACTATTCTAAACCAATAAAACGAGACTAATTATTATCTATGTCATGGTTTTCTGCTGAATCTGACTAAAATATATTGACTCAAATCTCATTATATTACACATTCTATTTTCACGTACGTAAGAAATAACAAAGTTAGAGTGTAACCCAGCCAACTTGCTATTCAGGGCCTCCTTTCACGAATCACTAAGGTGATCGTAAGTTACTAAGGTAACCTTAGTGCAATGTTAAGAATGGGAGTTAAGGTTAACCTTAGTAAAGGTTGCTTCGTGAAAGGAGCCCCTGGTTTAAAGGTCACATAAACCCTAGGGGGTAAAAATACATAAATCACTAACTCGCATCGTTATAAATGAAACCCCGTCATTAAAACTACTCATTTCGACCTTTAACTGACTTAAATCGACCTTTTTGACAACAGTGCACAATTCCCACCCGCGAACGAAATTTCAACCAATCAGAGCG